GGAACCGGTCTCAGGTAATGTATCACGGCCCTTTCCAGCAGGACCAGACCGTTCCTTGGATCGGTCCAGTTACAGAGACAGGCCCAGACAGCAGGTCCCGAACAAACGTCCTTTTCAAGGCAGAGGAGGTTGCCCCTTCCGTAGGTCAAGGTGACTTGGGGTGGATCCCTCCCATAGGCGGCAGACTGACTCATTACATTCGCAAATGGGAGGACACCACCACGGACGCTTGGGTGCTCACCACCATCAGGGATGGCTTGTCCCTGGAATTCGTGACAACCCCCCCTCGACGCTACATCACCTGTCCCCAGTTGCGGAATCCCATAAAAAAGGCCCTCATGCAGGAAGCCATTCAACATCTCTTAATGTTGAATGTTAATCAGACACATGACACATAGAGGCCATAGAGCGGGTACCATCGGACCAACTAGGGCAGGGGTTTTACTCCATCCTATTCATAGTACCGAAATCTTCAGGGGGATGAAGGGCGATACTGGACCTCAAGGTTCTAAACTCGCATCTGTCGTATCGTAGGTTCAAGATGCAGACACTTCAATCCATCTTGGCCAGCGTACGGCAGGGGGACTTCCTGACATCAGTAGACCTTACAGAGGCATACCTTCACATCCCCATTCATCCGAATCACAGAAAATTCCTCAGGTTCAGGTACTCCAACCATCACTTCCAATACAAGGCTCTCCCGTTTGGCCTATCATCGGCCCCCAGGGTTTTCACCAAGGTCCTGGCGGTACTGGCCGCACATCTCAGGTCGGTCCCAATTCGCGTTCAGTTTTACTTGGACGACATCCTGATCCAGTCGTCCTCTGCACCGAATGCACTGACGGACCTGGAGCTAACCATAGGGATGCTTCAAGGTCATGGGTTCTTAATCAATTTTCAAAAGAGCCACTTGGTTCCAGCCACTCGTCTATTGCACTTAGGCGCTATAATAGACACAACCCTTTGTCAAGTATTCCTATCGCAGGAGTGCCAAGTCAGCATCCGTACTCTGGTCATCAAGGTCCGCAGGGAACAATGGGTGACCCTAGCCCTGCTCTCCCAACTGTTGGGGAAACTAATTTCCTGCATTGCCATAGTTCCTTGGGCCAGACTTCACACACGACAGCTCCAGTGGCTCTTACTTCCCAACCAAAGGCGGGGCATAAGCTCTTTTCCCCAGAGGGTAAGAGTTCCAGCACAGACGCTCAGATCCCTTCTCTGGTGGCTCTCCCCAGCTTTGTCCAAGGGGTCCCTTTTCAGAGAGCCCGTTCGTGTGACCTTGACCACGGATGCCATTCTATTCGGCTGGGGGGCACACCTCCAACTTCAATTCGCCCAGGGCCGGTGGTCCCAGGGAGACCTCAGACAAAACATCAACTGGCTGGAACTCAGGGCTATACGCCTGGCACTTTGCCACTTCCGCAGAACGATTGCGGGGTGCCACGTGTTGGTCCTGGTGGACAATGTGGCGGCAAAGGCCCATGTCAATCGGCAGGGCGGTACTCAATTGTGGGCCCTGATGTCCGAGGCCCGGTTACTGGGATCATGGGCGGAGCGGAATCTTCTTTCCCTGAAGGCGGAGCACATTTCAGGGGAGGCGAACCGGCATGCGGATTATCTGAGTCGCTCTACGGTAGACCATTCAGAATGGAGTCTGCATCCACGTCTCTTCAGAGAGATCGCGCAGCGGTTTGGTCAACCGAGTGTCGACCTATTCGCCTCCCCAGTGAATGCTCAGATACCACGGTTCTTCTCCCGTTTCCCCTCCCAGGGGTCGGAGGGAGTAGACGCTTTCCACAGCCCTTGGCCTGGTGGACTGCTATACGCCTTCCCACCGTTTCCCCTGATTCCGGCGGTCATCAGAAAACTATTACAGGAACAAGCGGAGCTGATATTTGTGGCCCCACACTGGCCGAGACGACCATGGTTCGCGGATCTCGTGAGCCTTGCCGTAGCTCCTCCGTGGAGGATTCCTCCAGAGTGGATAATCCTGCTACAGGGGGTCATACGACACCCAGACCCGCAATGGCTCCAGTTGACCGCCTGGCATCTGAACGCCAGTTCCTGACACGGGGTTCATACTCCTCAAGAGTGATCTCAATGATCCAGGCCTCTCGGTGGCAGGCGACAAATCGGATCTACGATGCCACCTGGTGGAACTTCTGTCACTGGTGTGACCAAAATACTTTGTCCATTTCTTCTGTTACTATTCCGAGGATACTCGAATATCTCTTGGAAGGCGTGGATAAGGGCCTAGCACCCAACACTATCCGTAGGCAGGTGGCGGCTCTCTCCACGGTTTTCACCTGTGCCAACTCCACGTCGTCGTCTCAACACCCAAGGGTTCGATCCTTTATCAAGGGGGTTACAAACAGTAAGCCTCCTGTAGTCCATCGTTATCCCACTTGGGAGTTACCACGGGTTCTTCAGGCTCTTACAGGAACCTCTTTTGAACCCATCAGATCTTGCACTCTACGACTCTTGTCCCTTAAAGTGGCCTTCTTAATAGCAGTAACATCGGCAAGGCGCGTCTCGGAATTAGCAGCTCTTTCCGTGAGGGAAGACCTATGCACCTTTCATCAGGACAGAGTGGTCCTACGGTTGGACCCCTCGTTCATTCCCAAGGTTAACACCTTATTCCATAGGGCACAGGAGGTTGTATTACCGGACTTTTGTCCTAACCCATCACACAACTTAGAGAGGCAATGGCATGCTCTAGATGTACGCAGGGCCCTGCGATATTACATTAAACGGACAGCTGCCTTTCGTAGATCGGAGGCGCTCTTTGTATCTTTCCATCCAGCTTCTAAAGGTCAGAAGGTCTCTTCCTCTACTATTGCCAGGTGGATCAAGACCTGCATCGCTCCCTGCCTGTTCCAAGCCGTCTGACAGCACACTCCACTCGCAGTGCCTCTACATCAGCTGCGTGGCACACTCAGGCTTCTATTGTTGACATTTGTAGGGCGGCGACGTGGTCTTCGCCTTCCCCCTTTATCCGTCATTACAGGCTTGATAAATTTGCCTCTGCAGAGGCCTCCTTCGGCCGCCGTGTTTTACAACAGGTGGTTCAGTCAGCGTTGACACTTGACCAGCCTGTTTCCCACCCGTAGGGTCACATGGGCTTTGGTATGTCCCATTCGTGGATTCTCCATTCTTTTCCATGCTGGAGAAGGGGCGTTGTCTTACCTGAACGCCTTTTCTCAGCATGAAGAATGGAGAATCCACCCCCTCCCCTTTTTGAAATTCACAGTCAGGTCAGTGTCAGTAGCTGGTAGCCAACACATCACACAGTTTTTAGCTTTTCCCTTTTCGAAACTGGGGCAAGGTCCAGTCGAGCAGGAGTGTGGCAACTTGATTGATTTGGTCTGATTGGGCTAGAGGACTTCTTTAACCCATTCATGGATTCTCCATTCTTCATGCTGAGAAAAGGCGTTCAGGTAAGACAACGCCCCTTCTCCGAGCTTGTGAGTTGGTTTCCGAACATTTCATTACCAGGCTAGGTAACATCTTCAGCGGAGTTTAGGGGATGTCGGTGTCAGTATTCTTCTATTTATAAGGGCTTCAGGTGTAGGTGTGTCAAGTGAGGGTCTTGTGATGGGTTAGGTGTGAGTCATCAGTGAGAATCTTGTGATGGGGAGGTTACATCAGGTCAGGGTCATTGGGAGGTGAACTGGTGGGGGGGCTTGTGTGGGTTGGTTCTGTCTCTGGTTGGCTTTGCGGTTGATTTGGGTTCACAAAACGGGTGTCAGAAATGACAGCCAGAATTCTCCAACCCCTAGGAATAGCAATAGCCCAAACCCACAGCCACACTCTGCCAGGAATTATCCAGAACCAAAGACAAGATACAGGAGGATGAAAGAAACAATGTAATCTACAAAATCAACTGTAACCATTGCAACCAATTCTACGTGGGACAAGCATCACGTCAATTAAAAACCAGGATCCACGAACACCGGCTGGCAGTCAAATGCCACAATCCCAAATCCTTAATCTCTACCCACACCGACACCAAACAACACCAGTTCAATTGGAGCAACACAAAAATAATTGGCCATGCCACCACCCGCCATGCTTGTGAGTTCATTGAAGCCTGGCATTCCACAAGTAATTCCATCAACAGACACATCGACCTAAAACCAGCCTACAAACCCCTCAGAATCCAAAGATTCTCACTGACTTACACCTGACCCATCACAAGATCCTCACTTGACACACCCACACCTGAAGCCCTTATAAACAGAAGAACACTGACATAGACATCCCCTAAACTCTGTTGAAGGTGTTAACTAGCCTGGTAACTAAATGTTCAGAAACCAACCCACAAGCTCGGAGAATGAACCTTCACCCTCATTGGCATACATGTTTATTTTAACTAATTTGATCATAAATGAATCAAGCCACAATTTCCAAGATGTCTACTATTGTTCAATATCACTCACCTAGATACTGTCCACTGAAATATGTTGCAGTTTTTAATATCCATTCCGTAGGGTTAGTAAAATTACTTAACATTAATTGAAACATTCCATTTGTAAGAATAACAATTCTTGGTAGTTATCTTTTGTAACCAAGTAGACTGTCAGTTGTGTGCATTGGTCTCCTTCACCCTCTTGCATGGAAAATGTCTCTTGCATTTGCTTCACTTGTGGAGTTGCTGCTGACTAGAGTGGTTTTTTGGCAGTCTCAATATGATTGCTGTTTGCATAATCAGTATTAATAGTTGCCTCATCCTTGCATAATTATTCTAAGCAACACAACTTAAATTGATTCTGTTTAAAAGATGCATAATGTGTATGGTAATCTTTCTAACGAAGATCAAAATGCTACAAGTTTGCCAAATACAAACAAATCATAACTAAGTAATGCTATAGTTATGCTTCATGTATTTTTTTAACTTGTAATACTGAATATACTTCTGTTAGTTTCTATCTTAGTCTTCTTTGGTCAGTTCATAGAATGTACGGTATTCATTTCTGTTAACTCTCTTAAACTTTACACAGGCATATACTACAGTGAATTATGGTAGTGAAATGGATGTAGGAAATGACCAAGCAGAGCGTTCTATGCCTGACACTGCACAGTCATTTGTAAACAGTCCACAAAAGGTATACATGATTTCTTTTGTGATCCACCTTTACATAGTGATCAGACATTAGATGTGTAATCAATGAAAAGCAAGAGCAGAATAGAAAAAGGACAGGTAGTTCTTGTTTAGCAACCACAGTTGGGACTGCCAATTCTATCACTAAGTAAAGTGGTCACTAAGTAGGAAACCAGGTGATTGCAGCTGTGCTTTCTGGCTCAAAACTGACAAAACTAATCAGTTTCACACCTTTGGCTTTTGTTTGCCTCCTAACTACTCCCCCACCCTTTGGAATGCTCACCCATTGCTGGGATAATTAAGGGAATGTGGAGGGGGGAGGGGAAGGAACAGGTCAGACACCCAGAGAGATTGCCTACAGAAATTGCTTGGTTTTATTTTTCTTCACCCACCCACAGCAGAGAGATTGGAGAGGAAGGGATTACAAGAGAGTAAGCAGGCACACAATGGAAACTATACTGGTCTATATGTGTAGCGCACTAGCAGCTGCTGGCATCAGCACATTGCTTTCTATGTGTATTCCCCATTGTATGCTTGCTTAGTGACTGTAATGGTGATCATGTGACTGAAGAACAGCAACAGTTGCTGAATAAGGCAGTCAGTAAGGACTACTGTAGTATTGTGTGCTTTGCTTCTCTTCTAATTGCCTTTTTTGTAGAGATTATAAACCAATGTTCCAAAAAGACTATGGATCTGTTACTTTTTCAACATCTACTATGTTTGCTAAAAAGCCTACAATTGGCCAGTATGCTAATGCATGGGTTGGCAATTTGCAGTCCAAATATAGACCCCCTGCATAGAGTTCATGTCTACCCAGGACTCAAGATTGCATGCTTAAATTGAATGGCAAGATGCCCAAATTTCTGTGGTGCAATTTTGTTTTGTTTTTCCTCTCCAAAGGGTATAAATGGGAGCAAGATGCCTCTTGGAGAGAATTTTTGAAGTGTGCATCCTTTATACACACACCATGACCTAAGATTAAGCTTCTGAAATTTGGCTGTTTTGCCATCAGGTTTGAGCCATAAGTATAGGGCTTTCAAAGGATGAAAATGGAAGCAGTTTGCATTGAATTCATATACCCACTCTTAAACCCCTACAAAACAAAATACACCTGTCTCCCAATAATGTCGCACTGGTTGGGAGAGGAAGATAATGGCCCCTGACTCTCAGAAAGTTGTCTACCTTTATCTGATGTAATGCATGTTTAGGAGATGTAATTGTGTGGCAGTAATGTTAGTTATGTAATTAAACTCATCAGTATGAGATTTATATGCTAGTTTGAAAGCAACATTTGTTGTTTTTTTGAGGCAAACACATAGGATTTCTTAAAAAGGTATTTTTCTGTTTACTTCCACACTTGCAGCATATTAATTTTTAGAATATCTGGCATCTCAGATTACATTGTTTTAAGTCTTGTAAAATAGTTGTTTTCATTGTTATCCATAACTGGATCCTAAGCAAATTCAATCATTAGGAAATGGATGGACCACTTTTGTATATATTCAAGAAAGAAAGGGTGTTACAACACCTGTTTGACAAGACTGACATTATCTCCTTATGTAGCAATGCAACATTATCTTTAGGCGTTAGAAAACCTCTAACACAATATTCACAATATATTAATAAAGATTAATTATTTTAGAACTCTGTGGATCGCAGCATACAGACAGTAGTATCATGTCTATGTAATCCAGACCACAGATTGAGGAACAATATTGTAACTCAAGAGGACAATCTTAAGGTATGAATAAAACTGCAAGCTAAGACCTCTTAAGAGTTCTGCTGTTGTTAAGAATGGTTAGAGAGGATCAAATTTCTAGGGATAGTATGTTTGGCATCTAAAGATGGGGAAATATTCTGACTGTAGATTTGACAGAGATGGCTACAGTTAAGCACTTGCCTCCTTTATAGATTTATTGTTGCATTCTAATTTGTTATTCAAATGCTGTTTTCACTGTTTTGATGGCAGATATTTGACAGCAGCTTCACACATCACAAATTATAATGGAGAATGCACAAGTGAAGTCCACATTTATTTTCTACACTGCAGAATAAATGATGAATGGATTATTGTAATCACAGGCCAGAACACAATTTAGTGTAATTTAATCTTAAAATATATTTTTATTTGTATTCTGTTTTATGACAGTTTTGAATACCTAATTGTATTTGCCAATCTAATACATTATGAATATAGTGGAAAGGTCTTAAAACTGCAATTTAACCAAATGTGTATAATTAGTGGCAAAGATAATCCCTTTTCTAAATTTAAAAAACAAAGAATGGCCACCTAATAATTAGCATAAATCATATCTTAGAGAAAGTTTATACATCAATCATCTGACTTTTTTCTTAGTGCCTTATAAAAGTAATTTTTAATGTTTAATATCATTTACTGAAATATTTACAATATGGACAAAAATGCTGTTCCAGAGGAACTTTATAAAAACTGCTTTTACAATACCATAATGTGAACAATAAAGTAGCTTGTAATTGATAACTACTTGTTTTCTTGATAAATTGCCCAAAAGTATGGAAAGAAAATACACAGATAGCTTTTTCCAGGGTTTTCTTAAATTGGTTTGTTATTTGATTCAGGAGCTTTATTCTTAGAAGTAAATAATAAACTTTTGAATTTGAATCTGGTTGTACTTTAATTTATCTTCCTCAACCTTCATTTTGTAGGAGAAGAGAGCACATCATTTTAGAAGAAGCAGAGCTGTTCTTAAAACTGTTTGATTCAACACTAGAGTTAGAAAAGCTGAAATATTCATGTTTGTCATTTGTAAAAATAGAAAACCTTGCAGGTTAATATTGCTGACAAAACATACTTGACAATTATGTAGCCCTACTGGCAAAAGTTATTTGAAGTTGGAGTTCATTTGAAGTTTGCATGAGATAAGATTCTAGATGTTTGAATTTGTTATTTATTTCTAGGCATGTTTACATGTTTTATCTAGTCTAGATTTTTATGTGTTCTAACTTCTAATCAGAAAATGTCAAGTTTAACAGTTGGAGTTCTTAACTATTCTAAACATTGGGTTGTGTTTCTAAGCTTTAAAATGTGGTTTTACTGCATGTTGGCACTTGTTTCTAACATTTTAACTTGCTTTCAGCTCACACTTAAAATAGGATTTTTTTTGAAGAGGTATTTTTAAAACTGTACTTGAATCAGGTGAATAAACAGACATTCAGTTGCATCTCAGTTACTGCCATAAGTACATACTCAGTACAGTATTGCCTTACATATCCGATCAATGGGGACTTAATTCACTAGCTGTGTGTGCTGCTTAGTTATAAGTTCTGAAACTGATATGAATAAAAGTGTTTTCAAGGATTTAATTAATAGTATTAACTATACTTTGTGAGTTGCATTGCTTTATACTTGGCCATCCTGGCTAAAATACCTTAAAATTGTGGAAAGAATGAGTATTATGTAATCGTGTGCTTTTTAAAACTGGTCACCAGCTTTAAATCAAAGAATTTGTAAAACTGTTTAATTATGTAGACTTTATAGTTTTGTATCAGTAAAATTCCACAAATAAACTCCTTTGAGGTGGATTCCTTTTGTCACTGTGGTTCAGCCAGGGAGACTTGCAATGTGTTTTTTAAAAAGTTGACCTACATATTGATACTGCTTGTTTTGATCTCATGTACTGTAATTAGAATGAGACTTACATATTGAGAAAGTAGTTTGTGTTACAAATGTTTAAATAGACTAAACTGAGTTTCTGTCTACAAAGAAAAGTATTAAGATTGCATTTATGTACCTTTGGCAAACTCATACTATGGTGGGGGTCCTTGGTGCTCTCTGAGATTGGTTGTTTTCTTGTAGATGTTTGATTACCCAAACTAGGTAGGTTAAACATCAGTGCACTGAGGATGTTACCTACTGTAGTTTGGGTAATCAAACATCTGCAAGAAAGCAAGCTCAGAGAGCACCAAGGACCCCTCATTTCAACCCTGAACTACAAGTATTTTCCTCTAAAGTCATACTAGTTTTTGCATGGTTAGGTTTGGACATTTAATGTTTGCATGTGTACTGTGTCTTTTATTCTTTCCCTCAGCCTTAAAGAATAGGCCTATAATTCTGTGGATAAAAAGCACTAGTCAAATGTACCCTTTAGCTTTCAAGATATGGGACAAATAAAACTCAAGCATTTCTATTTACCTAGTTACTGAGGAAGAGGAATGCTGCACTTTCTGGTTGGTTGCAGTCTCTTGAGTTCACCATGGACGTGCTGTTTTGGATTTCACTAGCTTTAGGACATGGAAGGAAACATCTGTCTAAAGTCAGAGTGTGTTATGCTCTTCAGTCCTGCTTAGGTTAGGCTCATACAGGAAATGACAGGAAGATGGGATGGATTTGAACACTATCAGAGACTCTTCAGTCCTGCAAAAAGGAGTGGAATACAGCTCAGAAATGAAGAGCCCTAGAAATTACATTTGTTGAATCTAGGTTATTCTGAAAGAAAGAAGCACAAAGGATAAGAAAGTTTTAAAGGACATAGAAATGTCTTCATCAATGTATCATGGGGATACCCTGCTCTCTGTTTCACTAGAAGGCATAACTATACTTGAGATTTCAGGAGACCAACCCCCACTGACAGTTTGTGTGCCCAAGTTGAAAGCCTTCTGATGTCCCAAGCAGGGTTTTAGAGTTTACACCAAAACATAGGGATGATGGCATGGGTACATGAGTAACAAGGTAATAAAAACAAGAAGGGAGATGTCCAAAGATAATTATGCAGCACCAGTGCATGAGAAAAGATTCCAGAACTGGTAGTATGTTGTGAATCAAATGCTGAACAGATGAGGATTGATGGTTGAGCCCATAGATTTTTATCAAATCGCAAACCAAGAAAAATGGGGTTTGGCAGAGGAAAATAAAATTAAAAAATTAGACTGTATAGTGCATTTCTGATAGTTTCACTGAGTTTTATGTGTTCCAAATCATTGCATCTCATAATAATTGGTTGCCTTGGAATTGTGTTGCTTTAAAAAAAATTCTTAATTGGTGGCATTGATCAAAGGTGTTAAAATACTTTAAAAGTATTGAATTGGCAGTAGATCTGTAGATTATGCTATATATAATTGAACATGATGTCATAAAGTAATTAATATAAATATATTCATAATTTGCATTAATAGAAACGTCAGAATAGATACCTGCTTTTCTAATGTCATCTCTCCTATCCCTACTGCAACATAATAACTGGCCAGAAGATGGGGTGTTAGGCTAAACCAGACATGTCCAAAGTCCGGCCCGCGGGCCATTTGCGGCCCGCGTTCCGGTTTAATATGGCCCTCTAACAGCCCTCCCTGCTCTATGTAAATGCGGCCCTCCCACGGCCCAGGTGCGCCACCCCCTGGGAGAAGGGCGGCCAGGAAGTCCCTTTCCTGGGCTGGCCCCGTCTGAGGCGCACGTGGCTGGGGAGCCATGCGGGGAAGCCCCAAGATCCCTGCTGG